ATTATCTTTAAGCGTTATCCACTTACTATTTCTAAATTGGGCTTTTTCACTATGGTGTTAATATTAATCTAGTCTATTGAACATCAGATTTGTATTTATGTTCCCAGATCAGATAGAAATAAGGCACAAAGCTTATGAAATTTCACATTTTTTCTGCGTTTTTTGGGAAATATATCTTGTTTCTCCTTTACAATTTTTCCCACCCATGAATACACGGCTTCTTACAGCTGAAGGGCATTGATATACAATCATTCTGTAATGACTATGTCGTTAGTTTGCTTTGCCGGTTGTCGTCCGGCTGTTCGCTCACAACTCACCTTGCGTCGGGCTTTAGCCAGGTCCGTCATGAACCATTTTCTGACTCTGGTATGACTAATCCTCCTCTCTGTGGATATGAAGGTCATCTAGATAACAGCGTCGCTGCCATCTACGAAGCTGCCTCTGCTGATATCACATTCTGTTTAGATTCTTCATTTCTATCTCCTGGTCGCCGGCCCCCTATCAGTAAGCAAAACAGATCTGTCGGCCTCTCGATTTTTGAGGTGCGCCAGCTTCTACTCAAAGGAATCCTTGTGACTACGTTGATCTCTGACCCTATTGTTCGAGTACAGGTTAGATAAAATCTGCATATTTTGCCGAATAGGCCTTCTTTGCCTTGGTATTTTTTATTTTTTAAATATTTGCATCTTATAGGAATAAGAGCTGTATTTTTTTTTAATGATATACCATTTTGCTTTCGATTTATAACCGCAAAACATATGCTTTTTATAGACAAGTATACAATATTTATTTCTGACATCGTGGAAGAGCGGTCTTATGAGTAATCACAAGCCCTGTCTTGTCAGGAAAGCCCATAAGATATACATTTGGGTTGAGTTATGCTGCTGAGGACTGAAGTATTTACATACAATATTGGGTACATACGTTTCATTTTTACAGCATTAGTACTCTAGACCATAAATTTCGATTCCTCAGCTTAATATTTATCAGTTATCTCACTGATTTACATCTTCAAAAGGATAGATGGCCGTATGCATATACATCTCTTGTACATATGCTATTTATGCACTTATTTCTCGTTGTTGGAGTCGAAAAAGAGTTTTAATTATTTTAATCAGAATCAACTGTGCTTAGGCCCCCTTATATATACATACATAATCTTTATTGTGTGCATAACCATCAACACACAGTATTCTGAATCCCAGAGGAGTTGAGTTAGTGTGTTTTTATTTTTGAATACATCTTTAGATCGAGGTACTATTGATAAGATATCTGAAACGAATTAATGAATCTATAATTTT